CTGCACCAGCCTTGGCTCCAGCTTGCCTGTCAGTTGTACTGCCAGGAATTGGTGTATGCCACTGCTAATCATGCTCACAAGGGGCATGAACCTCATTTCACCAATGTGGCTGTCAGCACTTGAAGGTGCAACTCTGGCTCTGAGCTCTCTTAGACGCTGTTCCTAGCAGTATACTTTGTACCTGTAATCAACTGCTTGCTTGATTTATTTATTCATTCAATAAGTAGTAATTAGAGGTTACCATGTGTCAGGACTTGCTCACAATAATCAATATTTATCAGATCTAACTTCACAGAGCTTACATTCTAAAATGGGAAGATGGACAAACACTAAGGCATGGAAAGGGGTGAGGACAGGAAAGATAGCGATATTTTAGGTGAGGGATGGGTTAACAAGGGACATTTTGAGGAAATGCTCTGAATGGAGTGAGGTAAGAAATCATGCAACATGGGAGTGATGGAAAGCCTCCTAGAAAAAGGAAGTGTGCATACAAACACTCAAAGCGAAAACGTGTTAGATGTTTCAAGAAGAGCAATAAAGGCATATTTCTGGATGTAATGAGGAAAGAGAAGTGTAGGAAGGAATGTAAGAGTCAGATCACACAGAATCAAAGGAAGATAGATTTTCAGTTTTATGTTAAGATTAATGAGAATTCACTGGATAATTTGAGGTAATGGGGAATGGCATTTTTATTTACGCATTTAAGGAATAATTTGGCTTCTTAATTGAGAATAGACTAAAGAAGGGTAAGAGAGATGAGAGAGACATTTTTAGAGCTCAGTGCAGTGGGCTAGAGGGCAACAGTGGAGCTCAGAGAAGCGGTTGGATTGATGGCACTCTTTGGGCAAGATAAATGATGCAAGTTAAGGGAGAAGAACCAAGATCGCCCATAAGTTGCATTTGTTTTTGATTGAGTGGGTGAACTATTTTAGATCTGGACAGGATATACTCAAAACTACCAACCATCTCATAAGTAATGGTAAATAAACCACAGCTTTGTGTTAGGAAAGAAGCATTCACAAAGAAGCCTGCACAGGTTGCATACAATTGCTGGCCCAGAGCTGGACAGTGTGGCTCTGGAGCCATGAGTTACTGTGGAATCCATGGCACTGAGGAACTGGTTATTGCTACTGCAAAAATCATCTTAGTGGTAGGAGAGGGAAGGCGAGAGAATGTGTGTGCACTGCATGTGTGTGTGTATTTGCACATGTGTGTGCATGTTCACACACATGCACTGTTGTTGTTGTTATGTGCCGTCGAGTCGCTTGTGACTCATAGCGACCCTATGTACAACAGCCCTACACTCTGCTCTGTCCTGTGCCAATTGCACTGTCTCTGACACTCCCATCCCGATTATCCCAGTCACTGAATCAATCCACCTCATAGAGGGCCTTCCCCTCCTGCGCTGTCCCTCCACCCTCCCAAGCATGATGTCCTTTACCAAGGACCGGTCTCTCCTCACAACATGTCCAAAGTATGTGAGATGGAGCCTCAGAATCCTTGCCTCCAAGGAGCCACCTGGTTTAACCCTTTCCAGGACGAATCTGTTTGTTTTCCTAGCAGTCCATGATACTTTCAATACTCTTCTCCAGCACCACAGCTCAAAGGCATCAATTCTCCTTCTATCCTCCTTGGTCATTGTCCAACTCTCTGATGCATAACAAGTGATTGTGAAGACCATGGCCTGCATCAAATGCACCTTAGTCTCCAGAGAGACACCATTGCTCTTCAGTACTTTGGAGAGGTCCCTAACAGCAGACTTTCCCATGGCAATGCGCCTTTTAATTTCCTGGCTACTGGTGCCAAGAGTGTTGACTGTGGAGCCAAGCAAACTAAAGCTGTGTACAATATCAATCTCTTCACCATCCATCCTGATGCTGCCAATTGGTCTGGTGGTGAGAATCTTTGTCTTCTTGACATTGAGCCTATACTTGCAAATTTTTGTTTGTGCCCAGTACTTGCAAAGAATGCGTGCAACATTAGCGTGCATAAGTGTTTGTGTCCACACACATGCATATGCTTTTACATGTGTCACGCGGTCAGTGTAAGTATTTGTATATATGCATGTGTGTACATGCGTGAGTGTGCAGTGTGCAGTGGAGACACATGCATGTTTTTTCAGCATGCACTCACACACGCATGAACGTAGATGAGTGGTGAGTATGTGAATATGAACAATAGCCATTTTGTGAAGAAGTGAAGAAAAGTGACAGAGGCATTTAGAAGAAGCTAAAATAAAAGGGAGAGGACATCCCCTGAGTGTCTCACGAACATGGAACCTTAGGAACCAATCTAGACACTTAGAACTAGTCTGTATTCTCCTCTGTCTGTTCAAAAGTTCCAGGGCACCATGAGTTGGAGAGAAAAGGTAGATGGTTTTTGAGAACTAGTGGAACCTATCATAGGATGGAGACATGAGATGGGATGAAGCTAGATAATTAGGCTTAAGCTCTGAAAGAAATTTATAAATGAAAAGAGTGAATTCTCAGAAAAGAGGATGAATAGTGAAGGGATGGAAGATGCAAACACCTCATATTCCGACTTTGCTTACACTCAAGGGAACCATGGTCTTAGAAACCCAAAGAAAAAAAAATTAGTCAGTGAGCATACTGCTTGATCTGACCTGGAGATGAGTAAGAAATGAGTAAGACAGTGAACATGCTGAGATGCAAGGAAATTCAACTCCTACGGGACTGCTGATGTACGAGGGGTGGTGAATGGCACGCTAACACAGCAAGGAGGGGAGAGAGTGAGCACAGTCTAAAACCTGAGTCATGCAAATCTTCATTAAAGTTAAATGCTATCTCCCCCATGGGGCCCTACTTTAGGCCCCCTTGAGAAAAGACTTCTCACTTAGCTTTCAACAGCTCATACAGATCTTATAAATTGCTCAGCCCCAGCACTCAGCTGGCTCATCCTACACTGTCAGGCAGCTCCGTACAATGAAGAGGAAGAGTCAGAATCTGCAACCACCAATGGCATTCATAACACCCAGGTCTACACTTAATAAAAGCAAACAGCTTTTACATTAGCAGCTATTAAACAATCCACTCATGGAGGGAAAGTCTCCCTTTCTCTCTCTTAGCAGCAATAAAGCACAAAGAAAGCTTAAAACAAAACAACCCCCAGAACCCAAGCGTGGTGAATTTTAGACTGATTTTCCATTAAGAGGTTCTGGGAACACAGTAAGTGTCGAGATAGGAGCTCAGGATGTTTGCATAGATCTTCAAATTCCAACGTGAAATCAAGGCATTCAATTCCAGACACTGCATACCTATTCTTAGGAGGCTTCTCAAAACTCTAATGCTAGGTTCTGTGGAGAAACCCCCTTTCTTTGGTGTATTTGAAATCTGATTTTGCTATCTATATTTATGTATTTATTTTTTATTATTTCCTCGCCCGTACACTTGCCTCCTTCTGCCACTGTATTTACCTTTTCTTTAGCTGCAGCCTCTGTCTCTGGCATAGTTGACCCAACTTCACTGACTTTTTCATCTAACCCATGATCCAGAAGGCTGCCAGTAAGCTAGGCACTGGGTTGCATTCTTCAGCAGTGAAAATCCTGTGCTTACAAGGTTATGTCCACATTTCTCCCTGCCATGTCCCTTCAGCTGTCATCTCTGACATTTCTGGTTGCCTATCTGATGGTCCAGAGAGCTGCACACCTTGCAATTTCCAAAATGCACCAGTCATGTTCATCTGCCCAAAACATTTTCCTTTTTCAAAATGCTTTCAATCCCTTTGCCTCAATAACTAGTATGCATACTCTTCGTCTCTGTGCAGACACTAAGTTCTCCATAGGATGCTAGTTCAAAAGTTAGATCTATTCAAGTCCTCCTAAACGCATCTTAGAAGAAAGTTTCTTAAATCTGCTCTCAAAACTCCTGCCACTGAAAATCCTATGAAGCACACATAGTTCAACTCTGACACACATTCAAACTACTATCAGAATTAATTTAGTGTCAATTGGGATTTTTCCCCCCCATAGGCTTTATTTTCTATTACACAGTTATTTACCATTTATTAGCTAACTGTTTATGGGAAGGTAATTTAACTGCTCTATGCCTCAGTTTTCTTTTCTATAAAATGGAAAGAATTTTAGCACTCATTTTAATGGGCTGCTAAGAATATCAAATGGCAGGAATATTGACTACATGGCAGGAGCTCAGTAGAGGGTCGCTATCATTTTACTGTGTTTATGGGTTCAACTAGAGTCTTGTCTCTCTGCCTTTCACATATCTCTCCCCGTACCCTCTTAGTCTACTCCTTGAACCAGCATCTCTTACATTTAATTTGATGTTCAGAACTCATTTTGGAGTATTCTTTATTGCTGTCTCGTTTTCTAGCCTCTACCCTGCCTCCCCGATGATGGCAGGGAATTTTTAGTAATTTATCATACCAAGACCATTAATTTATCTGACCAAGACCATGATCTTAGTCTGTTTGGATTTTGTGTTACAGAGATTCTTGAGCTAGTTGCAGAGTGAATTCACGGGTTGTAGTTGTTGTGGACCATCATGTCAGAACTGACTCCAGGGGATGTTTTCAGAGGCAGTAAATTGCATGGGAGGAGAATTCCCATTCTTCTTCTGCAGAGCAGAAGATGGATTTGAACCATGTGCTTTTGGGATTACAGTGTATCTTCTTACTACTTGACCACCAGAGCCCCCATATTCAAGGGTACTCCACTAATTTTAATCAAATTATTTATTTAGTCATTTTATTTCTTAGTGGAAGATGATACTTGCTTATGGGTACAGAAACAGACCTAAAGTTATTAAATCATTGCTTTTGCAGAGAGGGGAAGGAGAAGAAAAATAATAGGTAAGAACTGAACTTAGAATCAAGAGCCTGGGTATTGGAATGACAGCTAGTTCATTTTGTAAACAAGGCACATACACCATGTACCTGAGAAATTTAGAAGGTAGCAAACCTGTGTCATATTCTTTCACATGTTAAGAGAGGAGGAAAACATCACTCTCCTTCTGCCTTTCACTCACCTCTGCAAAAACGAAGGGTGCGTCAAACTGGAAGCAAACATGGCCGTGCTTGATGGCTTGGACAGAGGCTGGGCCACACCGGTACATCCCTGTGACACACAGAGGAAGGACAGTGTTAAGTTAACATCACTGTTTCTACATGGACACAACACAATTCATAGCAACCGGGATGACTCTGCAGAGACAAATGTTTCAAAGCATCATCATTGATTTAACCTAAATTCTATCCATGCTGTAAAGGGCAGAGAGCCAAATTGTTTAAGGAAAAGTGTTTGGAAATGCTCCCTCCAAATAAAATAGGAAGTCATGAAAAAAAATATGAATCTTCTGTATCTATTATGTCACCAACAGACACATATTCAAGTGTATTTTGGACAAACTATTTACTTACATATAAGGTCGTTATGAGTCACCTGTGACTCGACAGCACTTAACAACAATAACATCAACATAGAGAGAGAGAGAGATCAGCTGGCCCAGTGGACAGAACATGATGCTACCAAGCCAAAGGGGGGTGACTTTTAATCTGCGGCCCTTGGGCCTGTCTTTCATTGTTTTTGATCAGACATTCCTCTAGGTCATATAGCCCTGGTGTACAAGTTGCTGTACAGCGGTCACTTGTGGTTGCTGTGAGGCTGAACACTGTGACACTGATGTGTCAAATGCATTAATGATTGGTTACCCAATGAGAACAGAGAGTGGGTTGGAGCTCCCCGACTAAAACAAGCTTGGTAGGAGGAATGGCATCCACTTCCATAATAGCTTGCTTCCGGAAACCCTATGAACCTGGAGAGAGGATGAAAGGCACCCAAGCGTTGAGGACTCTCCTTCATAGGGTCTCTATGAGTCGCCTGCGACTTGATGGCACTTAACAACAACAACAACAACAATCATCTTACCTAGGAGCCTTGCTGGCATAGTATATAATATATCACGCTGTTAACTAAAAGACCAACAGCTCAAAT